GGCCTGAGTGATTCACTAAAGTGAGGACACCTGACGGCCTGTGTTAGACTCAAAGAAAGGAGTCTGCAAAGGAGGACCCGAAGGGCCCTTCAGCCCTGTGCTTCTGAACCCCGAAGCCCATAACAAAAACCCCAGAGCTTTGGGACACAGTGACACACTGGCAAAATCCCAGACCCAATATAATCAGCCATGAGGAGAAAGGCCTAAGCTACTCATATCTCATGTGTGGCCGAAGCTGAGAGCCACCACTGGTCAAGCACAGTATCCTCACTTCATAGACACTGGTGTGGAGGCCAAAAGCTGGAGGTCTCCTGCTGCAGAGAAGCTCCACCAGCTGCACAGCTGCTTCATGAGTTGAGTGCCTTCCAGGGACCCTGCCATCCACCTACCCTAACTACCACCCTCTCTAGATGAGGGATATGACCAATCTACCTGGGACATCACACTTCTGTCCCCTCCAGCCAGGCCCCAGCAGCACCCTGACTCCAGGCCATTCCCTTTCTCTGTGACGGTGGCTCTCACTCTGCTGTTGGTTCTTGTCGTCCGCAACGCTATCTGATCCTAATGTGTCTTCAAAGGCCTGGCTCAAGGGCTGCCTCCTCTGCAGAGGACCCACTGCACGCAGAACTTGGCGGAGGGGTGCTCACACAGACATCTCCCTCATCCTCTGTGAGAGCTTTCTGCTGAGGTGTTCCCAGTTCCCGTCTTCTCCTCTCTGTTTACTCTTAGGCAGAGGCAGCACAATAGCACTGTGGGAAATGCCACCCGGGTGGGGTGAGGGACACTCCCACAGTCCCCTCCATCCCTGGACCACGTAGCCTCTGTGGACTGTTACTGAATGGACTCCACTAAGGAGTGAGAATCACCATCCAACAAGAGTTCTTGGAGGTGACGCCTGCTTAACAGTTCCAGCCACACACAAAGTCCTCTCCGGAGCTGCCGTGGCCAGACATCAGGCTCTGGGAGGAAGAAAGCTGCCAGCCACCACTGCTTCCAGGACTGAGGGCTTTGTACCTGGGACCAAGGGCACACGCCCAAGGTGGGCCCATGCCTCACCTTGACTTTTTAAAGAGACCCTCCTGGAAGCTGCCATCTGCGTGGAGGAAAGGAAGTTCTAGGGCCGCTCCTGCAGGCTAGCCGGGTCAGAAAGACCCAGTTCTGTCATTTAGCGGTATTCGCTCTTGGCACGCTCGCTGTTCAACCTCAGTTACAGGTTGGAAAATGGGGTTACCAGAGATCTTAATCTGAGGGCTCAGTGAGGGGTTGGGCGGTGGCTATTCGGTATGTGCACAGTCTTGGGTTCCATCCCCAACGTGAGAACAGCAAGATCATGACACATGTTTGGGAAACGTCTAGAATAATCACAGATGTGTATTACACGTTGGGTGAGTCTCCTTCTTTCTCCTTTCCCCTTCCTGCCCCCCCCCCTTCACTCCATCCTTCATCCTGTTTGTCTTGGAGAAAAAGTAAGTTCACTTTAGCACACCAAGAGACTATCCTGTGCCAGAAGGAGCCGGACCTCAGCTTCAGCCAAATTCAGCAATACGTGACACCCCCTCCCCCCCCCACAGGTGTCCCCGGACACCAGGACCCAGGAACATAGAAAGCCTGACACCCATGCCGTCTGCCATGCCCCGTGCAGACTTAGCTGTGCTGCTCCCAAGTTCATGGTCAGCACTCAGCCGTGCATCCTGCCCCCCAAACATTCTAACGACAGGGCAGGGCACACACGCTAAAGAAAGCTGCATCTGGGCAGGGCCAAACCGCAAGAATGGCAGTGCAAAGACCAAGGACTGAGGGGACCCAGGAGAGGCCAGGAGGTGGGGAGGCAGGGAGACAAGCTGTCTCACCCTCTCTGGCATTCAGGGACAATTACACCCTCTCACCCAGCTGAGAGCAGTGTTCTGCCCTGTGGGTCTGCACTGAGCCGGGGCGGCCTGCAGATGGCTCGGCCCACGAGCATGTGGTTGGCAACTCCTGAACTTTCGGTGACTCGGTGCCAGCGGATCCAATCAGCAATTATGTTTTATTTTGGGGCCAGGGAGACAGCAGCAACCCAGGAAAATTATAAGACACTACAGTGCTATTTTGCTAAGAATATCAACTGCAAAGATTTTTTTTTTCTTTTTCTTCACCAATTGTCCTTTGGATGGTTTGGGGTTTTCAAGTGTGCTAGAAATAAAAAGACCCTGGACACAGAAGTCAGATTAAGAGCCAAAGTTCGCAAGGCTGGAGTGGGTCTTTACCCACTGAAGACTTCGTTGCTTGTACAGCTGTTTGGGGGAGGGTGGTTCCTGCTGAGGGGACTTTGATGGTGACAGTCACTAGTAACTGTGAGTCTTATCTGCCCAGATTGGTAGCGTTCCTTCTGTGGCTGAATCCTCAGTGCTTCCTACTAGTTAACTGGGATTGAATAAATCATGCAATTGTTAGCTTCAGTTCCCTGTCCATAAAAGGGGAAGTACCACATATCTTAGAGCTCACATGTAAATCCAGTGAGAAGAATCCAAGATCCAGAAGGCATCTGATCTAGGCTATTTATCTAAGGTAACCAAGAAGATGCCTTCTTGCTAAAGGTAAGTTTCTCTCAATCTCTCTCTATATGTATGTATGTATGTATGTATGTATGTATGTATGTATGTATGTATGTCCTCTGTTTTTACCATCCTGTATTAAGCCCAAATAGGCAATTAACAAAAACGATGCAAACAGTATTTACAAGAGCAGTTCGGGTTAGAGCAATCACAGAGTTTGTCACTTGCCTTGGTGGCTACACCATTCCAGGCTCAGCAGCTTAGCTAGGAGGAAAATATGAGAAGTGCAGGAGAGCACAATCCAGCGTCCAGCACGGAGATGACTCAGGATGCTCCTCAGAGAGCTTGGCCCCTCCTTTTAATCCCACAGGTCACCACTAACCAGGGCTGCTTCTCCAAAAACAGAGCCCCACTTAAGAACTTTGCCCAGAAATGGGCATAACTGCCACTTGTAAAGGAAGTTAGGCCCAGAAAAAAAAATTTTCCCTGGACTACATCCCCAGGAAATGGGGTGATTTTCCTGAAACAATGTTTGCCTGTAAGGGCCGGAGAGGCTAGACAATGTGCTCAGGACATCCGAGAAGGACAGTGACTCACCTACCAATGACCTCCCTTGTGACAGCGGGGGTCACATCCCAGACATCCCAAGGTTTAGGCCAGGGCTAGATGTACTCCTCACTGAAACAACACTCAACTCCACTACCTCTAGATGAGACCTCTCCTCTGACTGGCCTGCCAAGACAGCGTACAGGGTCACGCACACCGGTCCTGGGACAGCACAAGTCCCTCTACGTCCGCTCCCTCCCTCACATGGTCAAGGAGGGCGGGCAGCAGGGAGTCACCACACCACTGCCTGCAGTCAGGACTTGGTAGATTATAACAGACAGATAGCAGTCTCAGGGTGGTGGTTATGTAGCCTGCCCAAAGTCACACGGCTAGGAAACGATGACACCAAGTCTGACTCTGAAGTCAGGGACAAAATCCCATACAGAGCTGTGGTCCCGGCGTCCCAGAGAGGTGTTTAAGATGGAAAACTGACATCTGGCAAGGACTTTCTGGCTTGCACCCTTTCAAAAGTCACAAACATTTGGGGGCCCCTGACACCAACCAGGTGTAGTGTTAGGCACTGGAGATAAAAAGTAGGCATGACTCAGCCCATGGGCTTTCTACCCTCTGCCCACGGCCCTCTGTCCTGAAGATAGCAGTGTAGACAGGCCAGGTCACTGCCAAAGGAGACTCAAGAATCAAATCCCTGTTGAGTCTCAGCGAGGGGCAGCAGGGAAACCCCAGGAGGCAGCTTGTAAAACCTGTCTGCTCCGGCCAAGTCACACCTACAGCCCCAAGACAGAAATAAAGAGGACATCACTGGCCACCATGAGGATCCAGACTCTAGTCCCCAGCACTAGAGAGAGTGGAACAGAGATGACTCTAAGAATTTGTCATCTTCTCCCACCAGGCACCGTGGACTATGGAAATCCAAAGCTGAGACTTCGGCACTGGAGAAAGCCCTGAGGGTAAAACCAGGCCACCTCCCACCTCCCACACACATGCACTTCTCGGCAGCTGGCTCACTGCTCAGCCACCAGCTCCCAGTGCCAGAAACAGCCAACCAACTGATATCCCCGCGGGAGGACCAGCCCACATTCAGACTGAAGTGACTTGCAACTGTTGCTATGGTGACAAGGCCTCCCGAATGCCCCTCACTTCCCATGAAACACCAAGTTGCCCTAAACCCAGCTTTCTATTGCCCTCAACACCAGGCTTGCTGCTAAAGAGCCAGAAAGATAGTATGGCCTCTTTACATCCTGCTGTAGAGAGTATGGCATGTAGGCTGTCACTGGGTCTCAGTACTCCGATGTGGGATGCGGGTGGTGAATTTATCCATGATCATGCCCTTCTGGGAGTGCCAAGCTTCCCATGCTTGGTGGCTCTTAAATTTCGGAGTCCCATCACTAGGAACTGGGACTATGTAACCTCAGAGGCCCGAGCCCCAGGACGGTCAAAAGCACAGTCCCACACAAATCCCCACACTTCCTCTAAACTGATTTTCCCATAGCTTCTAACATGTTCCTGGATTACATTTATGAAAATGCAAAATGAGAAATGCTTCAGATTTGTGCCCCCCCCCCGGACTTTTGGAATATTAGTTCATACGCAGTGAAATACCTTGGGGTAGGAGCCAAGTCTAAGCAGAAGGTTCACCCCTGTTTCACACACAGAGCTTGGAGATAATGTCATACAGTTTTTTGGTGCATCTGCATTTTGACTGTGACCCACTGTATAAGGTCAGACGTGGAATGTTCTGTTTGTGCTGAAATGTTGCTACTCAAAAAGTTTTGGGTTTGACAGTATTTTGGACTTCAGATTAAGGATGCTGAACATGGAGGCAATCGCTGGAGGTAAAATGTCAGGACGTGGAGGGCATTTAAAAATCCCCAGAACACACTGAGAGCAGAGAGGTCCTACCTGGATGGGGTTGTAGAGCTCTTGTAGAGGACTCCGAGATCCCTTCCGGCAGCAGATGTCCATACCGAAGGGATTCCTCCGCATGACTGAGGAGAGAAAGTGAAGTCCGTCAGAAAACAGGTTTGCTGTCCATCCGCTAGAGGGACAGACATCTGGGAGGGATGAGGAGGCAGAATGCAAAGGAGGAAAGCCAAGCTTCCGCCAAACAGAGCCCACCACTGTCCCACCACCACCACCGCTGCAACAGCATTCAGGTGTCCGCACCCACAACACAGACCACACTAAATCGCTTTCCACAGCACACAGAGCTACAACACAGAAGGCACCGTCCGAGTGCCCAAGGAAACAAATGTGTCTGCCCTGGGTGTGGTGACACAGCCTCACATCACCCAGCAGCAGAGCTGTGGTCTGAGCACACGGTCACGTACACCGCGAAGGCTCGAGACAGTTGTTCCCAGGGGCCCTGTGTGAGGCTGCCGAGGCAGGACACGGAAGACTTTCACCGGAACCATCCATCCTAGTTTGTTTTCTGTTGCTGTGATAAACGCCAGAATCAAAACCACCTGGATAGGAGAGGGGAGGGTCTGCCTCACAGCTCACAGCTAATCATGGAGGGAAAGGCAGAGCAGGCACCCTAGACAGGAACCGGGAGGCGGGAACTGACGAAGAACCATGAAGGGATGATGCTGACTGTCTTTGTTCTTCATGGTTCACTCAGTCTGCTTTCTTATACCACCCAGGACGAGCTGCCCAGGGGTGGCACCATCCACGGTAAGCTGGGCACGCCATCATCAGTTAGCAATCAAGAAAAATGTCCCTCACACATTTCCAGCCCAAACTGAGGGAGGCAGCTCCTCAACTGAGGTTCCCTCCTTCTGGGCACGTCAGGCTGGCAACTGAGATTGGGCACTGCAGCATCCTCGTAAGAAGAAATACATTCTAAAGTAAGATAAGGAAGCCTGGAGAACAGAAACACAGACCAGCAGTGCGGCTGCTCACATTGTCTGCCGTCACACCCTGTCCCCGATGGGGACATGCTGTGCTTTTATAGAAGCGTGTGCTTACACGAGTGCCACCGCAGACCCGGGAGGAGCTTGCTGTAGCAGCTCTGTGACATTTCTAAGATGGTGTCACTTTGACAGAACTTTCATCTCCATGGTAATCGCACACACTTCGATGCTGACTGATGCCTACCATACAGCACGCAGTCAACACCTGGGACAATGCCTCTTCCTGGGCTCCTGACAATGGGGTGAGCCATTTCCCAGGGGGTTCCATCCGCAGTAGGTCAGAAGCCCTGGCTTCCGCAATACCAACTTGAGGCAGAAAGGATGAAGGTCTGTGGTTCTAGAAAGAGCCAGCACGTATAACTGATAGGAGAATTAGAACTCTTCACCCTTCCGCAGTGAGGGGGCCAAGAATCCCTATGAATATAAATGAACCTTTTCTTTCTTCGTTCTCCCCTAAATCCATGCACCATCAACACCAACACCTAACTAAGGACAGAGGGAGGGAAAGGAGAGAGGGAGGAAAAGGAGGGAGGGAGGAAGCTCAAATGAACTCGGGCTTTGTTTGACATCTAACTGCTCATCACGGAGTATCTCTGTAATGAAGGGGAATGGAACAAGACTAGCACAGCCTCCCAGACGTCCTGATATGAGGTGGTGGCCCAGTGCACAGTCCCTCGTCCCCTGGGACACAGCCTGGATTTGAACGATGGCTCTAACGTACACCAGTTGTGAGACCTTAGACAAACCGTCTGTCTTCCCTGTCTTTTCCTCACCTGTGTAAGGGAGCTGCAAGGGAACCTCTCTGGGTTGGTTGTGAATCTCGGGTTACGATGCAGACTGTGTAAATGTCGGCAGTTCCTGGAGCTATTCTAGATGTACACTAGATTACGATCAGGGCTGCTTGGCTTCTGGGAGAAAGATGGGAATACCTCTCTTCCTGAACTAGCACAGGGGCCGAGAGGGAGTTGACCACACTTCAATCAAGATAAGAGGGCTGGATGAAGGGGGCTGCTGTTCAGATGTCAGCCTGAGGCGGCTGGAGTGAAGAGCCTGGAGCCTGGGAGATGTTCCTTTGGCAGAGTCATTGCCATGGAAGCACACAGGCCTGAGTTTCCATCCCCCAGAGCCCACATGAAAAAACAAACACAATGGCGTATGTCCAAAATTAGATAGCCCAAGCCCTGGAGAAACAGAATGGAGAACCCTGAAACGCATCGGTCAACTAACTAGCTGAAGGCGCCAAGCTCCAGGTTCAATGAGAGGCCCTGCCTCAGAAAATAATGCTTGCCAACAATCTCTGGCCTCTGCACGCACGCACGTGTGCACACACACACACACACACACACGCACACACACATGCACGCACGCTGTGAAGAGTAATTTTCATGTGTAACAGGTAACTTCTGGAAGCTTGACTCCTCCCTTTGAACCTGGGGAGACCCTGAGGGAAAAGCATAGGTTCCTGGGAGGAAAGGCTCTGCGCCCTCTCTCCTTTTTCTTGGCTGCCTAAGGGGAGGCTGGCAAGCCTTTTCTGGAAAGGACAAGTGGCACTTAGCTATGTGTCATCGTACAACGGGCGACAGGAATCGCACACTCACTCGCTGAATCTTCCTGATAGGAAATGTGACTCTTCTGTTGTTACATTGTAATGGCTTAACAAAAATAGGCAGTAGGCAGGGTTTTCCCTGAGGCTGGAGTTTGGTGATCTCTGCCCTGGAGCCTGGGGTTCCAAGACAAGCTCTGCACAGGCCCTGCAAGTCCAGCCGCCTTCCCAAGGGAAGGGCGATCTTAGAGCAAAAGTCAACACATAAAAGCCATTAGAATTTGATTAGTCTGTCCGGGGAAAAAAAAACACTGCCTCTTTGTTCCTCCATGGCTGCCCCAGGAAAGTGAGAGAGAAATTCTACTTTGTGTTTTTCTTTAATTTATGACTTCATTTTTTTTTTTCATTTCCACCAAAAAGGAGGTAAACTGTTGAGGGCACACAGGTCCTCCATCTGTACAATGGCCTAGCAAGCACTTGGAGGGGAGAACACGGCCATAAGACGTGTGAAACCGTGCCCACGTCACACAAGATTGAGTCCCCGAACGGCAGCAGACAAATTCATCGGGATCTGCCACACTGGACGCCCCTACCGTGCAACCCATTAAAAGCCTGCTTTTACAGGGGGCAGTATTATTTAATTGGTTTATTTTTCTAAAACAAGTCTTTAAGAAGCCTGGATGTGTGGGGCCTGCAGCTCAGGCCCCTTCCCTGTGACTTCATGGGGCGCCATGTGAACTGACGTTGGCACCCCAGGCCACACAAGCCAAAGGGGCCTGTGTGCTATTTATAAGTGTGACAACAGCCTTCCCTGTGCAGAAGGCCCCTATGTGGGACATCACAGGGCTCCAAACACTTCAGAGTTTAGAGTTCAGATTTCAGGCTCTTTGGATAAAGGATGGGCAGCTGGCCCAGAAGATGGTTCAGTGGAGCCCCACAGAGCAGAAGAGACTAGCCTCGTGCACTATTTCCTCTGATGGTCACATTCACAGGCACACGCCCACACACAATTAGTTAATTAATTTTCAAGAGAATGAAAGACTGACCAGCTAATAAGTCTATACAAATATCCAAAAGGAACCCACCGTCCTAGGCAGTTCCCACGGATGTGGGTGGTAAACAGAGTCCATAAATCCTCACAAAACCCACATCTGTACCCAGGCCATCAATAGTGGAAACATCCCCAGAGACTCGTGTCTGAGAGCTTACATCTGACCTCAAAGAATCCTTGGGGCTTCTAACCCAATTTGTTCCGAGTCTGAGGGGCTCTCAGACGCCATCTGGCCACTTCTCAGAGGACAAAAGTGGGCCAGTGGAGGACAGAATGGCCTGTTACACAGGGGACTGCAGAACTGGCCTAGGATGGTCTTGTCCATCCAGATCTCATCCCCCATAGCCAGGTTCCACAGAAGATGTCACTGTCCCTCTGCAAATCCGCAGGAGTTTCTTGATGCATACGTGTGGCATGAACAAAAATGAAACAAGAGGCTATCCAAGGATTTAGCCAATGGCATCACTTCTACAGATGCACATGGCACCAAAGCCCTAACTAAAAGTTGGAGAATGAGGCAGAAAAGTTAGGGAGGCTGTTGCTAACAGACCCCTCTCCATGGCGTAGTTCGCCTTCAAGATGGTTATTTTGGCCTTCTTAGCCAACATAGTTAAGGCAGATCTAGGTTAGTAAATGTGGGTATAAGGACCGACCGAGTTAGATCTCCAGAACCCACAGAAAAAATGTCAGGCTTGCTGGTACACACCTGTCGTCAGCTCTGAAGAGAGGAGGCAGGGAGCGAGCTCACGGTCAGACAATCTAACCTAATGAGTGACCTCCAGGCTACTGAGAGGCCTGTGGCAAAGGACGCCCTTTGGCTTTCATGCACACCTCCACAAGTGCATACATGTGAACACACACACAGACATACAGAGGGAGGAGGGGAGGGAGAGGGGGAGTTAGTTGGGGGAGACCTAAAACAAACAGGCAAAGGCATCATGAAAAGTTAACATGAGAAGGTGCCCGCAGAACTGCCGGGTACGGCCAGTGGGCTCCATAACTACCTAATAAACACAAACCCACCACCTGCCCCCCTCAGGTGCACAGATTTGGACACTCGAGTCTTTCTCACAGCCAGTTCTCTTATCTGTCCATTAATATTTAAGGTCATAAGCAAGGACCACACTGAATAGAACTCTTAGCTGCTGAAGGTCACGATTATAAATCTAAGAATTCAGTAATCACAGCATCACGGGAAAGACGACGAACAATAGAGTTCATCTATCAGGAGTTTCACTGACCTGGAAGCCTTCCCAGGGGCCCCAGTAACCACCGTGGAAGAATAGACTCACTCATTCAAATACTCACTGCCAGATTAGAATGGCCACTGAATGGATTCATCAAAGCTGTGCCCTTCTGCAATCCCCTCCCCCCATTCCTGGGGTCCTGGTCCCTCAGCAGCAGTATGAGTAAGTGGGAAGCGATGTCTACGTCAAACAGCACAGGGCCCTGCCCAAGGAACACCACTTATTAAAGCCTTAA